TGAAGCCCGGGGTCGGCCTGCTGCTGAATGGCTCCTGAGCCTGGTGATTGTCACTCAGTCCCGCTGCTGCCGCCAACGGTTCTTGCCCTCGCTCCTCCAAGCGGCTGCAGTGTCGACAGTCATCAGTCACGCAGGGGTGACGGGAGAGTGCATCGGCGTTCATGTGCTGTCGACCCGGGTGGTGGCGAACCTCGAAGTCGTACTCCTGGAGCACCTCCAGCCACCGTGCCACCTGCCCTCAGGCTGGAAGAAGTTCATCAGCCAAGTGAGGCTGGCATGGTCTGTCCGCAGCACAAACCTGGTGCCCAGAAGATACGACCCGAAGTGTCGCACCGCCAGAACGACAGCTACAGCTCCCGCCTGGTGACACAATAGTTTCTTTCAGAGCGGCTCACGTTTGGCTGCCGCTGTAAAAAGCCACCACTCTCTCGCCGTCCTCCCCCTCCTGGGATAGGACGGCCCCCACACCGACACCGCTGGCGTCAGTGTCCACAATAAAGGACCGCTGGGGGTCGGGGTAAGCCAGAACCAGTGCTTCCACCAGTGCTGCCTTGAGCTGGTTGAACGCCGCAGCGCAGCCCTCACTCCACTTGAACCCTCGACCTTTATTCGTCAGCTGGTGGAGGGGCACCGCCACTGTAGCAAACCCTCTCACGAAACGCCGATAATAAGACACCAGTCCCAGAAAGCTGCGCAGTTCAGCTACATTCTGTGGGACGGGCCAGTCCCTCACTGCTGACACTTTCTCTGGGTCCGTAGCGACACCTCTCTGGCTGACCATATGTCCCAGGAACTTGGTCTGCTATGCCAGAAGGGGACACTTGGCTGGGTTTAAGCGAAGTCCAGCATCTCTGATGGAGGTTAAAATCTCACGCAGGTTATCCAGGGCCTGTGTGAAGCCCCTCGCATGCACCAGCAGGTTGTCAAGGTACACTACGCAGCGGGTACAGGGGATATCTTTGAGGACCCGCTCCATCAGTCTCTCAAATGTGGCCAGAGCATTGCAGAGCCCAAACGGCATCATCCGGAACTGCCACAGTCCCTGTCCGATCGTGAATGCCATTTTGGGGCAGGCCTCCGGTGCCAAGTCTACCTGCCAGTACCCACTACGCAGGTCCAACACGCTAAACAAGCTGGACAC